CTTACCTGGCAGGGGAGATACCATGATCACGAAGGTGGTTTTCCCAGGGCGAGGCTTATCCATTGCACTCCGGATGTGCTGACCCCTGCGATTTCCCCAAATGTGGGAAACTCGACTGCATAATTTGTGGTAGTGGGGGACTGCGTTCGCGCTTTCCCCTGAACTTTTGTAGTGAAAAAGCAGATTCCACGCAAAGGGCTGTTCTTGATTTCTACGGTTTCGTGGTTTGGGTGGCATATTAAGCGTTCTCACAATCACAGTGAGGGGAAACAGGAAGTATCGTATTACCATCCTCTCAGCTGCCGTGAGATTGTTTAACACAAGTTAAGTGGCCGCAGGGCCCTTCTCTTCCGTTTCTACACGTGGGGCTGCTTTTTGCAGATTGTTTTATGGTCTCCAGTCTCTTGAGTTTTCACGCTCTGTGGAAACCTTCGTGTTTTTTTGTAGCCCCCAGTCACCCTTCACACAGCCTCTGCTTTTAACCGCAGCCCCCACAGGAGTTTGTGGGATTTCTGTGCTAGCGGGGAACGTGTTCTCACCTCATAGAGCCAGGTAGAAACTCTACGCAGTCGGGTTGCTGTTCTCTTGGATGAAAGCAGGGCCTTTGGTGCTGTTCTTTGTGATAAAAGCAGTGTCCCTGTTCGGTTGTAGACACAACACGCTTGCTTTCTGTAGGGGAACGGGAGGGCTCTCCCCGCGTCCAGGTGCCCTTGCTCATGTTCACGGAGGCCTGCAAATCAGAACCGCAGTCTCACCTGTGGGCAGAAAGGGCTGCAATCTACCCCAGCTACCCGAACTACCCAGCAATAAAATGGGACACATTACGGAAACATGAGAGGGCATGGATAATCTCAAAAACATTATGCCGAGTGACGAAAAGAGGGCATCCTGTGAGGCGCCATCAAGGTGAATTTCTAGAACAGGCAAAACTACATCATTGATTGCTGGGGTCAGGCAGAGGGCGGGACTGACTGCAAAGGGCACGAGAGGACCTTTTAGAGTAATAGACACGTCATCAAACTTGAAATGGATGCGTTGTACCATAGTCGATTCACACCTTAATCAACTTGGTTGTAAAAAGGAATAAGAAAACCACTCCAAATCTTAATGTCTTCTACTCAATTTAGTGTATGTTTACCCGTAGAGGATTCCTTTAGAAAAATGTCTCTCTAAATGTGATTGGGAGTTGAGGAATTCCTTCATTTCTGTTTCTGTCTCTTTGTCTGCAGTTAAATGGGATATTTGTAAAATAAAAATAGAGTCTAAGCACTATTAAATGGGATATTTGTAAAATAATAATAGAGTCTAAGCTAAATTTTGTAAAAGCATACATATATGCATCTTTATTATTTTATTATTTTTTCAGGTATCTATATCCTTATTATTTTTTCTTGTTTTTCTTTTTTGGGGCCTGGCGGGGATAGTCTAGCTAAAATATACATTCCTGTCTCTGTAGATATACCACAAGACCTTTACTCCAGTGTTGTCCAAACGTTATGAGAAATTAATTTTGAACTGAAGGTGCTCAAAAATTTTACATATGTTTACATCTTCTCTACTGTTAGTATGGTCTATGATTAGCATGTATAATTTTTTTTTTTTTAAGACAATAGCTTAGCAGTGATTTGGAAGAAAAACATGTACCTATGTTAAGAGTAGTTAATTCCAGGAGGTGTGAATATGGATGACCAGTTATCTTCCCCTTTATGAATTTTTTAAATTTTTAAATGGAAAATCCTCAATGACCTGGAAGTGGAAGAACAGATTAGATATGGAAGGGGTGTGGGGCAGGTGAGAGGAAAATGTAAAGAGAAGGACAAACCCAGTTCTATCAGGACGGTGTTTAACTTGAAGGTTTCTGGGGATCAGTTGTTGGGATAAGAATATGGGGGAGGCAGGAGAATCATGAAAATATTTAGGACAGTGTATCGCCTGTCTTATCATTCTTCCTCCTTTTGTATTTCTTCAAAAGAAATACACAGACTTACGTTTCTTTTCAAGCATGCTTACCATTTGTGTTTCTCTTTTATTAATGTAACTGCCCGGTAGGTTTATCTTGCCGATTGTCCAGGTAAGGCTTTCTGCAATAGAGAAAGAATTTAATAAATGCAGAGGTAGCTGAGGGACCAGGACAGGGGTTTATTATTACTCAAATCTGCCAAAATTCAAAGACTAGGGTTTTTTGTTTGTTTGTTTGTTTGTTTGTTTAGGATAGTCTGGCAGGCAGGGGGCTAGGGAATGGGCAAAGCTGATTGGTTGGGTTGGGGATGAAATCACAGTGTCAGAGCTTGTTTACTGCACTGAGTCAGTCCCTGGGTGAGGGCCACAGGACCAGATGAGCCAGTTTATGTGCTAGCGAGTCCACCATAAGGCAAGGTCTGAAAAATAGCTTGAACACCAATCTAAAGTTTAACGCTAACAATGTTATATATAGGCACAGTTGGGGAGCTTAGGAATCATGTGGCTTCTGGCTGCATGGCTCCTGAGCCATAATTTCCAATCTCGTGCCTAATTTGTTAGCTTTGCTAAGGAGGTCTGATCCCCAAGATAGGAAGGAGTTTGTCTGGGGAAGGGGTAATCAGCTTTGTTTCAGACTTAGACTTGGAACCAAACTCCTCTTAGCCTGGCCTATGCCCAGGAATGGACAAGGGCAGCTCAGAGGTTAGAAGTAAGATGCGGTCAGTCAGGTCAGATTTCTTTCACAGTCATAGTTTTCCCATGTCAGGTTTTTCTTACTGTCATAATTTTTGCAAGGGTGATTTCGTTAGGAGCAGTATAAACACAGTGGTTCTGAGAACGTCTTCTGGAGCTAGGCTGCCTTCACTTCAAATTCCTGCTTTCAAATCCTCCTTTCCTGGCTGAGTGACCCTGGGCAGGTCACTTAACGTCTTTGTGCATCTCAGTTTTCTCATATGGAAGGTGAAAGTGATAGTGTGACCTCCGGCCTGAGGTAAGGACTAAATGAGTAAACATATGCACTCATCAACTGTGCATAACATGTGGCATTTTGTGATTCAGGCACAGTTGATAATGTGCATATGTTACTCATGTGCGTGTTAGCTCTTGTATTTTGCCTGCAACACTGCACAAAGAGCAGATGTGATGAAAACCATTTGTACTGAAGTTACAGCAGTGATACTTTCCAGTGACCCTGCACCCTCCCAGGGAGACTGCAGCAATCCTCCCACCAGCAGTAACCTCCTGAGCTGGGAGGTTCTAGGAAGGCCCCTCAATCTCCAGCAGGTTTGACCCTCAAGGAGCTTCAGGGAATGAGCTAGAGAAGTATTTGTATCTAGGAGGAACTGGGAGTTTATTAGCTCATCCGTACAGCTCATCCAAAGGGGAACAATGATTCAATTTCTGGCTTCAAATCTGCTCTAATAAAATTCTTATAGTTTTGACCGGGTGCAGTGGCTCATGCCTGTAATCCCCGCACTTTGGAAGGCCGAGGCGGGTGGATCACCTGAGGTCAGAAGTTCGAGACCAGCCTGGCCAACATGGTGAAACCCCATCTCTACTAAAAATACAAAAAGTAACCGGGCATGGTGGTGGGTGCCTGTAATCCCAATACCTCCAGAGGCTGAGGCAGGAGAATCGCTTGAACCCAGGAGGCGGACGTTGCAGTGAGCTGAGATCACGTCATTGCACTCCAGCCTGGATGATAGTGCAAGACCCTGTCAAAAAAAATATATATTTTTTATAGTTTTATAGTGGAAGATATTTCTACATGTAGAGGAGGAAAGGTGACTTTTCCTCACCCAGCCTAGGTTCACTGCTGAGACCCTTACAGCAAAAGACAGACTAACAAGAGAAGAGCATGTGTATTTATTTAATGTACGTTTTACATGACAGGAGCGCCTTCCAAAGGAAATGAAGGCCCATGGAAACAGCTAAATCTCAGTTTTTTTTTTTTTTTTTTTGTTTAACAGTCAGTTTGTTGAAGAATGGATAATCATGGAGAAGTATGATAAGACAATAAGAGTATGACCTAGCAGTAACAAACTGAGGAAAACGTAGCCCGGCTTCTGTGTTCAGGCTCTTGTCTGTGTCCCTGTGTCTTCAGAATCGAGGATGCACCTTTCCTCTGGGTACAGCGAGGGCACCTCTCACATAAGTGTCTTATCATCGACTTCAGAGAAGAAGGGCGGCAGGTGGTGGGGTGACAATGACCTTCCTGCTTCTGTTGTTTACTCAAATTCCTTTAGCATAAAACATTCAATACCCCAAGATGTTGTATTTTGGAGTAGCATGTCATGAACCCCATCATGCTCATGCAACAAAACCCAGAGTCTTTGAAGAGTAATGACTACAAAATATTTAATTTCAAAATACAAATGGTGACCAAGTAGGGTGGCTCATAGTAGTCCCAGCAGGGAGGTGCAGGGAGGCCCAGGCAAGTGGATCACTTGAGTTCTGGAACTCGAGAGCTGCCTGGCCAATATGGCGAAACCCCATCTCTAGTAAAAATACAAAAATTAGCCCAGCATGTGGTGCACACCTGTTGTTCCAGCTACTTTCAGGGGGTGGGGAATGAGTGGGCTGAGGATCAACTGAAACAATGTCATATTTACAAATGACTTTTTTTCCTATAAGGCTAGTCAAGTGAAGCAGTGGAAGTGGAGAAGGAACAATGAAACCTGTAACTGGTTGTGATCAATTATTTGTAAACAGGAATGAATTTTTATGCACTATACACTGTTGTCAAATTTACATATGCTGCAAAACTGGAGGTGAACAGCAGTGCCCTGGTCACGTTCCTACACTTATCTCTAGGGATAACAATTTTTTTTTTTTTTTTTTTTTTGAGACGGAGTCTCCCTCTGTCACCCAGGCTGGAGTGCAGTGGCCGGATCTCAGCTCACTGCAAGCTCCGCCTCCCGGGTTTATGCCATTCTCCTGCCTCAGCCTCCCCAGTAGCTGGGACTACAGGTGCCCGCCACCTCGCCCGGCTACTTTTTTTGTATTTTTAGTAGAGACGGGGTTTCACCTTGTTAGCCCGGATGGTCTGGATCTCCTGACCTCGTGATCCGCCCGTCTCGGCCTCCCAAAGTGCTGGGATTACAGGCTTGAGCCACCGCGCCCGGCCTGGGATAACAATTTTTAACGCGTGCAGCCAACCTGTACATAAATATTGTTACTCTTTGTCCAATTTTCCTCCCCAGGCCCTGCAGTCCAGCCTGCAAGGGGAAACAGAGTTTGTGTGTTTCCTTACCTTCTAGTCCACTCCAAGGAGCCAAGAAGGCGTCATCTCACCCCCCTCAACCCCGGCTCGTCCTCCAAACTGAGCCCTTCGAAGACTGCGGTGATTTTCAGTCCTTCGTAATCGCTCTCAGTCCCAAAACATGAAAATGAGAGCGATGGTCCTGAGCGCCTGGAGCGACATCTTAGTTCGCTCCCAAGAGCCATCAGGAACCTCATTCCAAGTGCTCTGAAGAGCAGGAGAGAACATTTTTAACGCTGGTAGCGTCCTAAGGCGTCTTCTCCTTGGGGTAGGGTTCTGACGGGACGAGGGGGAGCCCCACCATCAGGGACTCGCCCCTCAGAGCTGCTCAGGCTCCTCTTCCCCGTGGTGCCGCCGGAGCTCGCCCGGGGCGGCGGAGGATCAGAACCCGCGCTCCCAGATCGTGTGCTTGAAGAGGCCGCCGGGAGGATTTCTCTTTCCGACTCAGATCTTGGGATAAAGAAATGAGATTTCCCGGAGTCAGGTTCCGAAGCTTAGTGAAACAGTGACTTTTAGGGTCCACAATAGAGACGCAGGCGCTAAAGATTCGGCATAAAAATCTTAATATGAAGAAGTGAATAAATTAACATTTGGAATCAGATGGACCATGTGAATAAAGCAGTCCTACTCCCAAGTTAGGTCTCCAACCATCCATCCTAAGCTGAGACACAATCTCCAATGACTGAGCTAACCCCATCAAAATTTCCCACGTTACCATTTACTTACCAAAATGACAATGGGTGACATTACGAGATTTTCCGGGTGAAAGGAATCTCTGGGTCTAGGACTGAGGGGCGGCAGCCTTTTTAGTGGAGACCTCTCACCCCGAGGCGGGGGAGCGGGAGGTCCGGGCCTCCGATTGCTGGGTGCCACGAGGCTCGCCCAGGAAGGGGACCCTGCAGGCTCGGTGATCCCGACTGGATGATTCGGCAATTTCCCTGTGGTCCCGGCCACTGGAAAAAACCGGCTTCTGGGACCCCGAACACCGAAGACGGAGACGAAGAGGGGACAAGGAGCGCGGGGGACATCGCGAGGCTTAGACAGCGGGAGCAGAAGGGACACGGAGGCCCGCAGCTCAGAGCTTGTGGACGTCAGTGGAATCCCCATTCCATTTAGGGAGTAAAACACGGCACTACCGTCCTAATTAAACAGAAAGGTACACACACAAAGGTTCCACCGAGACTCGAACTCGGATCGCTGGATTCAGAGTCCAGAGTGCTCACCATTACACCATGGAACCTCACAATGCAGATTTGCTGGTGGTGTCTGAATTCCTAGTAAGTGGCAATAGTTCCCACCCACCCATGTCAAGGCATTTCTATTACCCACAAGCAACACTCGAGGAAGGTGGATCAGTAGGAAGGAGCCATCCCTCTTGCTTTCTCTCTGCCCTCTCCTTTGATCGGCTCCTATCATTGCATTTGTACCTCGGAAAACGAGGCAACATCCACTGTGGGTTTAGGGCCAGAGAAGAGCCCTTGAAGCCTCCGTCATAAGAGTTTCCTGTGCCGAGGTGAAATTCCTTCCTTCCTTCCTTTCTTCCTTCCTTTTCTTTCTTTCTCTCTCTTTCTCTTTTCCTTCCTTCCTTCCTTTCTTCCTTCCTTCCTTCCTCTTTCTCCCTCCCTCCCTTCCTTCCTCCCTCACTTTTTTTTCTTTCTTCCCTTCCTTCCCTTCTTTCTTTCTTTCTTTCTTTCTTTCTTTCTTTCTTTCTTTCTTTCTTTCTTTCTTTCCTTTCTTTCTTTCTTTCTTTCTTTCTTTCTTTCTTTCTTTCTTTCTTTCTTTCTTTCTTTCTTTCTTTCTTTCTTTCTTTCTTTCTTTCTTTCTTTCTTTCTTTGCATTGAGATAGAGTCTCCTTTGTTACTCAGGCTGGAGTGCAGTGCAGTGGCAGTGGGCAATCTCCCCTCACTGCAACCTCCATCTGTTGGGTTCAAGTAATTGTAAACCCCAGTAGCTGGGATTACAAGCGTGGGCCACCATGCCTGGCTAAATTTTGTATATTTAGTAGAGATGAGGTTTCACCATGTTGGCCAGGCTGGTCTCAAATTCTTGACCTCAAGTGATTTGCCCACCTTGACTTCCCAAAGTACTGGGATTACAGGTGTGAGCCACCGCGCCCAGCCCGGAGATGAAATGTCTGCAAAATTTCTGTTATTTTCTTTATGCTTTCCCTCTTTTCTGTTTGCCCAAAGAGGCTAGATGATTGTCAAAACAGGATAAGGGACTTCCTGGGTGCCTTGCCCCCTTCCTCCCTGTAGTATATAATAGAAGACAGCAATCAAGTGAGATTGGGAAGCAGGGAATCCTTCATTTTCTTCTTCATATACATCTATGTTTGGTTGGTTGGTTGGTTTTAACAAAATTTTCTCACCAGAAATGGAGATTTGTTGGATTTAAAATAAATGCAATCTGCCATGTTTTATATTTCTATAAAACACTCAAACCAGGCCATACTCACCTGCTATGACTCAAAATCAACCATATACTGTCGAGGTCAGGAGGCAGAGCCCTGACATTTAAGCTCAGGGTGTTTTCTCAGAATTGGCCAAGTTGATGCCATTCCAATTTCTCAATATCTCATGATCCATTAATTGCAGTCTGTAAAAGTTTACATGTATTGTTACTGAAAGCCCAGGAGTTCGGTCTAGGCCCTACTGCTTAGCTCACAGAAAACCAATCATTGAGACATTGAGTGTTGCCGAGGAAGAAGGATTTAATTGGGTGCTACAGCTGAGGAGTTGGGAGATGAGTCTCAAATCAATCTCCCAGATCAACTAAAGTGAGGGGTTTATTTAGCAGGGAAGAAACATAACTGTGTGTGGGAAAAGAGGAACTAAGAAAGGGTGAGGAAGCATTCATGATGAGTGAGGGGGCTGACATCTTATTGTCTGGAGGCTGTGATCTGCTGAGGTTTGGGTCTATGATGCTTTTTGAGAGGCCTGAGGGTCCTTTCCTGAGGAAGGAACTCAGATAAAACAAATGTAAGTTTCAAGCTTTAAGACCAGAAGGGTCCATTTCTATGTCCAAAAACACTGTCTATGGGACTATTGGATCGATTTCAGTCCCCACTTTCTATTTGTCAGTTCTTCAATCATGGGGAATCTGGTCATCCAGCTTCCTGGCTGTGTCATGTGGAGAAGGGGCACCCTGAGCAGCTCCACACCATGGGTGACCGCATGGCCACCCAGGAATCAAACGTTCATCTAATACTGTAGTTTCTCCTGAAACACAATCTTCCTCTCTCCAGTTCCCCATTTCCACTAAAGACAAAACACAGCAGGACCAACCTACCTGCAAAAGAAGCTTCAGTTCTGTATACTTGGCCTGATTACCCACACAAAGTGCAGCAAGAATCATTGTTCATATAGGCTCTCCTAAATGGACTTTGCTGGAACATTTCACAACGCCATTTCAGGCAAAGCCCTGGGAAAATTATCAATTCCTCCACCTGTGTCAGGTTATAAAAGAAAACAGAATCTTATTGAACTTATGCAAACAAACACATGGTCATGAGTTAAGAATATTGAGTTTACAAATTCTGGAGAAATTTGACAGAGAGAAAAATATGCCTCAAATTCTGTTTAGAGGACTATTCTACTCAATTGTTGCAGGCTATAAATAGCTCAAAAGGAAACAAGTTCTCCAGACTCTGAAGAATCAACAGTGTTTCAAACAAACAAACAAAGACCATAAAAACTTGTTTCAGTCCTCTGTTAGTCCAATCCATGCAATCATCTCCTGCTCTGCTTCATACTGGGCTAGCAATCTCTATGAACACATCAGCCTTTCTATTAGTGCCTTGGAAATTTTCTCTTTGGTTCAATGGCATGATCTCCAAGTTATCAGAAACCTGCCTCCAAGAGTCCTTTTCATGGACTTCCCCAAAGAACCAAGGCCTGGACTGTAACTGATTATAAGTAACTTTTTTAAGAAGAATCAAAGCAAAACAACAATTGTGGATGACAAAAGCCTTAAGACAGCCATAGTTATAGACACAGTTGACAAGGGAATTCTGTTGCTTTTGTGGCACCCGACAATTTAACATAATAATCGTAATTATCACTGACAGCATATCAGAACTCTAGGAATCTCATACAATCCTGGAACACACATTAACAACACACCTGTGTCATCAGAACCCAAAGGAAGTGAAGCACCACCTCAGATTTGACAATGCTTCTTGCATAATTCTAGCATAACAAATAAGCCTAAGAAGCCTAATATATCTCTCTTGGACTTCAAGAACTTAGTATCCAAAAAGTTAATTTGAGGTCCAAAAGGCTCAATATGGAAATTTTACTCTTAGAAAGTTTGCCGAAGTTTTGAAAGACTTGATATCACAAAATAGGATCACAGGTCATCTTAAAATAGTCAATCATTTAGCCAAAAGGTAAAAAAAAAAATTGTATCTATTATTAATATTACACAAACATTTTGATGAAGAGAAAACCAAATTTTACCTTTGTGTGGTGTATTAAAATGTTAAAGCTAATTGTAATAAAACCTTATACACAAATTTAATTATAATCAGTTTGACCATAAGGTAAGAGTTTCAAAAACCTTTCATGACCTTTTATACTTTTCTATGAAAGAGCAGATGAATGCTCTAGAAAACCCTGTTATTCCGATATATGGGCCTAGTTGCTGGCCTTGCATCAGGGTGCTTCTGAGTGTAATGTCTAATTTATAGAAAATCTCTGAATTTGAGAGTCCAGGGTGGGTGGATCGCTTGAACTTAGGAGTTTGAGACTAGCCTGGGCAATATGGTGAAACATTGTGTCTACCAAAAATACAAAAAAAAAAAAAAAAAAAAAAAAAAGGAAGGAAAGAAAGAAAGAGGGAGGGAGGGAGAGAAGGAAGGAAGCAAGGATGGAAGGAAGGAAGGAGAGAAAAGAAAAGAGAAAGAAAAAAAAATTTCTGAACTAAAGTTCTCCCTCAAACTGCAGCCTTACAATTCTCATGTGCCCACCTCTTCTGTCTAGAGGAAGAGGGGGTACGAGATGGAAAAGGGGACATGTGGGATTGTTGGGTGTAGAGGGATTGAATGGTTTCAATTTCTGGTTCTGTCTCTCATGAAAGCAGTTGGTTTTGATTGTCATCTTCCCCAGGGTCTGAAGATGAGGCATTGATTGGTGTCAATATTCAAAATTTAGCAGGAGAAAGTGCCCTTTTCAGACCCAGGAGTCAAACCTCTGTAAGCTAATAGCACAAGGATTAGTTAACAGGACATTTGTACTGCAGAAAGTTCTATTTCTGTCTCTCACGTCACCAATAAAAACACTGTGATCTGCTGTCAAGTAGTTACTGCCTGCAGCGCTTCAAACGACCGTATTAAAGTGGTTAGGATACTCCTTGCATGGCAACATGTAGTTGCCAGCATTCTAATGACAGAACTGTGATCAAAAGCATCAAAAATGTGACAGGACCTATGCCAAACTTTTCAAAGTAAGGCAATTAAATTTTCTCTCCATCATTTAACAAAATGCTAAATGCATATATCAGTTTTGGAAATTCCGTATGAGGATAAATAATCTCATTTTATTTAAATACTAAACAACAAAACAAGAACAAAGTGAGAATAAACACACACTCATTTCTTTTCAGCTATTTTACTTATTTATTTTGAGACAGATCTTCCTCTGTCACCCAGGTTGGGGTACAGTGGCAGGATCTCAGCTCACTGCAAACTCCACCTTCGAGTCCCAGGTTCAAGGAATTCTCCTGCCTCAGCCTCCCGAGTAGCTGGAATTACAGGTGTGCACCACCATGCCCAGCTGATTTTTGTGTTTTCAGTAAAGACAGCGTCTCGCCATGTTGGCCAGGCTTCTGGCCGTGAGCTCCTGGCCTTCAGTGATCTGCCCACCTCGGCCTCTCAAAGTGCTGGAATTACAGGAATGAGCCACCACACCCAGCCTTCTTTTCAGCTATTTTAAAAGAGCATAATCACATATTTCCAAGATTGGTTTCTAGATAGAGTACTGATTACTGATTAGGTCGCTTTCACCATTAAAATCTTCAAAACAGTGCAACAATTGTACACATTTTATTTTCTTTTTCTTTCTTTTTTTTTTTTTTTTGAGACGGAGTCTCGCTGTCACCCAGGCTGGAGTGCAGTGGCCGGATCTCAGCTCACTGCAAGCTCCGCCTCCCGGGTTCACGCCATTCTCCGGCCTCAGCCTCCCGAGTAGCTGGGACTACAGGCGCCCGCCACCTCGCCCGGCTACTTTTTTGTATTTCTTAATAGAG